ACTATTATTGCTTTGAAGTAAGACTGGCCTATTGACACATAACGAGAGAAAGTAAGAGGGCAGACCGTTTATTTTCAGCTGCCGCCCTTGAGGTTGCACCTCAAACCAGCAAACGACTAGCAGCCGTGAATATGAATTCACTTTTGTTAATCGTTGGCTGGTTTCGTAGTTATTTTGATTAGGCATGAGTATTATCAATTGATTTTCTTCGGGCCGGGTTTTGGGGTTGTAGTCGAATTTTTCAGGTTGAGTTGAATACTCTCTTTTTATTAAACCGCGTCTGGGTAGAAACCAGCCCGAATATCTCGCGGAGGCGCACAACTCTGATCAAAAAAATCTATTTTTCAATAAAAATTCTCAACTAGTTTTGTATGGAAACAAATCAAAATGCGCTACCAAGTCCTTTCACGTTGCAATTGTACATAGTTTATTGGCAATTCGTCCCAAAACCCACTCCTAATTTTACCTAATGTATTCCTATTAAATTAGTTTAATTTGACCTAACGGCAATTATTTGGGGTTTTTGGTGAAATCTGTACGTTAATTTTAGTCAGTTACCATATATTATTGCGCTTAATTAATTATTATTATTATTATATAATGTATAATTAGTCACTGCCACTATTAAAAGATGACAATCTATTAATGGTTGTAGTGGGTGATTGAGTTTGTTTCAACCATTCTTCTAGTGTTTATGCGTATTATCAACTGCAAACTATCTACATATTTCTGCATAACTCATGTTAAACACTTCCAAATGTAACAATAAGAGTTTTAACGCGTGCCTGACCGGACAGTTTTTAGCCGTTTCACCGATCTCTTGACTACTTCTCAGTCTGTCCATACATCATTTTTCACTTCAGTCTCAAAAAATTCCCGTTTTTTGCTAAAAATTGAACGGAAGGCAGGCCTGCAACTTACCAACGTTAAAGGCTGCACGATAGAATTTTTAAGGCCCCCTCTGTAATACCACCATACTACTACTACATACTACAATATAGTTGTCTAGGTTTTTAGCAAACTAGATTTTTCGCTAGTTTTGGTTAAACAAACAATTATGCTTTTCAATTTGACAATAAACGTAATGATTTTATGATTGAAGCTTTTTATTTACCTCTCGCCCAAAAAGTCTTGAAGATCAAGAATTTTTTAACACATACGACATTCAAAATTTCGCTAGTAGCGAGCTACTACATCCATAATGAAATAAAGTAACGCTAAAGTCTTGCTCCTGATATTTGGTCCCTACCTCCTTATACATTCTGCAGAGCGATACGAACGAACTTACATTAGATTTTCCTAAATGCTCGTAGAATTTTGTACACATACAAATTTTTGAGCGAATGAAAATTTTGCCAATAGAGAGCTAAATCCACATTAAAATATCGTAACGGTAAGCTCCTGCTCCTGATATGTGCTCGCGACCTCCTTAAGCATTCTGCTCTCCTGATACAAATCGAAACTTTCATGTGCCACCAAAATTTGTGCAAAATAGATAGCCTCTGCATCGACAAAAAATAACGTAACGCTAAACGCTTGCTCCTGATATTTGCTCGCTATTTCCTTAAGCACTCTGCTCTCCTGATACAAATCGCCACTTTCATATGGCACTAAAATTTGGCCAATAGAGAGCATCTGCTTCGACAAAAAATAACGTAACGCTTAACCCTTGCTCCCGATATTTGCTCGCTGCCTGCTTAAGCATTATGCTCTCCTGAAACAAATCGAAACTTTCATGTTCCAACAGAGAGCATCTATCTACATCGACTACATCGAATGCTGGTAGCATTTTGTAAACATACATATTTTTGAGCGAATGAAAATTTCGCCAATAGGGAGGTACTAAATCCACATTAAAATAACGTAACGGTAAACTCCTGCTCCTCTTATTTACCCGCTTCCTCCATGGTTATTCTGCGGCCCTGGTATGAAGTCTCATCAGTTTTCCAAAGAGTGAACATTTCTTTTACGAATATATTCTTGAGAATGAAAATTTTGTCAATAGAATAGGCGTCTACTAAATTCACAATAAAATAACGTAACGCCAAACTCATATATCAAATATTTACTTCATCAGTTTTCCAAACTGCTGTTAGTCAGCTACTTGATAAAAACAGTTTGTGAAGGGAAATAGGAAAAAACCAATACGCATCCCATTAAAGTAACATTTTATTACAATTAGATACTAGCAAGATATAAAAATGAAAAGTATAAACGACCTCGAGAGTGAAAAAGAACGGAATTTTGAACCAATTAGTGCCGCAAAACTCTAACGCAATCTAAACTGTAATCACCAATTGAAAGCCGACGTCGTCGCAATAAATATCCAAAATACCGCTAAAAACAATAAAATGTTAATATTTACACTGTTTTATGGGGGCGCGATTCATGACTGGAAATTCAACCGCACGTGGCGAGATAATAGCGGAAAACACTCAAACTGCAAAGCGACTGGATTGAAACCGAATACTAAACGAAAACTGAAAAATCACTCTCTTGCAAGTTTTGTGAATCAAGCTGGCTGAATACGGTTTTCTAATTGGTTCTAAACATTTCTACGACGAGTTGGTGTTTTCCCCATTATCCTGCCCATAGCTGCTTGATCCGTTAAGGGCGAAGGACGTGCCTAAACCATACAAATGCCCGGAAAACTTCGAGTCATCGATTGTGTCTTCGAAGAACATCTGAATCCGGAAAAAATAAATATTTCAATGTAAAGAACCAGTGTTGTTTGGGAGTAGGAAAACGCACCTCCTTCATTTTGAAAAATGCCATTCCTGTTAGTAGCGAGTCGGATCCAGCTTGGTGCTGAGGACCCACCCTTTCCAACTCAAGCTGTTCAGCGACCTCCTGCAGCCCCCCTTTTAAGGTTTTGCAAGACTTCATCAGGTACTAAAAATACAACTGTGTTTTTGGACCCTTTCCTTCCATTGGACGAGAAATTCCGCGTTACCTTAACATCATATATTGTTGGAAAATACAGCCTCAGTAACTCGAAGAACTCGTTTTCGTCCTGCGGAAGGTTGTTGTCCGTTAGTAGTTTGATGAGATATCCGAAGTCGTACCCTGCAGCAAAATAAACCAACATCATTCCTCAATAAATTAGTGCGCTCGGCCAGAAGCTGCAAAAGTTCTTACCAGAATGAAAACTCAACCACTTAATGTTGTCCATGAGCACAATACCAGAAGACATCAGCAGCTCAGCAAACTCCAAAGGCTCTATTCCGTTGTCCTCGTGCTTCTTGAATTGTATTCCAGAGTTGGTGAGTAGGTCGATACTGTCTTGAGCATACATATCCTCTCTGGAAACGTCCTGGAATCAGAGCCCCAAAGCCCTCAAACCCTCCCACTGAGTTACTCACTGTAGGTTGAACTTAAAGTTGAATTGCCAGGTCGTGTAAGTGCCCCCCGGGGTTTTTCCGGTGTCGTCCAAAAAAGTCAAGCCCAGCTGAATGATCCTCAACAGGTCCACATTGCAACGCAACATTTGATACTGGTAGTCTGCAGAGCTTCGAAATTCCCCAATCGGTCGGGCCACGACGCCGGGAAACTCAGTGTCCATTGCAACGTAGTTGTATTTCTGCACAATCTACCCGAAGCACATCAACAACGTCAAACACAACCTGCCCTAGGGCTTCTACTGCTACTACCTGTCGAATAGTCCGAAATTCGTCTTCCAAATTGTGGGCCCAAACGTCCCTAATTCCACAGTCCTCATTGTTGGGGAGCTGCAGACTACTGTTGGTGGCCGAAGGCATTTCCGCACCGGTCCTGATCACTTTTGGGGCGTATTGTTGTTCTTCTAGTTAAATCTAAGAGCGGGTCTTGAAGGCATTGATTATGTTATTTCTGACGAGACTTGCCTCGAGGCTTTCTTTTAGGCGGGCTGCAAGCAAATCACTTGAACCAATTACGCGCTATTGGGGCTGTTCAGGTGCTCATTTAGAGCTGGTGTTTTGTCTAACTTTGAGGCCCCCCAAGTGTGCTCTGAACCTCTGAAGTCTTATGCATGGGAAACGAAAGCGCAATTGTTCTTTAATGTTGTTACTTACTTTCGTGCAGATTTTCCAATGAGAAACATTCAAGACGCTGGCCACAACAACAGAAACGAAAATTATTGGGAAAATAACAAAAGCGCACGCAAAATAGGCTAAATTGAAGAACGACAGTGACATCTCTGGTGACATTAGCGAGAGGGCTGGAGCGCAGCGTTGTCGGATGGGCCTTGGAAATTGGGCGGGATCGTTGCCACACCCTAATTTCTTTCTCTTAATTTATTTGTTTCATTCAATGTAAAACTTATTGTTATGGCTGACATGCAAACGATGAATATTGCAAAATATTTTTTTTTATTTCTAGCTGAAAAATGTTATAGAGAAAAACTGCACTAAAGGGAGCGAAAGAACCCTCTTTTCCAGCCTCAGGCATGTGAAGCCTCTGCCTTGAATAATTTAAGGGAAATTGAATTTCGAAACGCTTCTTGCAGATTTGCTCTCAAAGAATGGCGAGCGTCAACTTTGAAACAGCACTAACAATCGAACTATCCTACGAAAGTGCCTCTTTTAGGGTTTAAAGAAAACACTTTTATACTCATACGGACTAACTTTGAACATCCGAACATCAGTTTTATAAACATTCGAACTAACTTTGAAGCTTCTAAGCTTTAAAGAAATCAGTTTTATAAACATCGGGACTGACTTTGAGACTTCTGCTCTTAAAGGTTTTAGCAAAATTAAGTTTTGAAACGTTCGTTGCAGATTTGCACTCTTAGAATGAGGCTCAATTTTCAAAAACTGGCCAAGAATCGAATTTTAGTCCTACGAAAGTGCCACTTCTAGACTTTGAAGAAATCTGTTTTATAAACATCCGAACTAACTTTAAAGCTTCTGTCTCCAAGAATCTCTCAAAAATTGAATTTTGAAACGTTTTCTGCGAATTTGCGCTCTAAGAATGGGTCCAATTTAAAAAAATTGCTAATAATCGAATTTTAGTCGTACGAAAGTGCCGCACCTAGACTTTGAAAAAATCAATTTTATAAACATCCGGACTAACTTTGAAGCTTCTGCTCTTAAAGATTTCAGCAAAATTGAGTTTTGAAACGTCCGCTGCAGATTTGCACTCTTAGAATGAGGGTCAATTTATAAAAACTAGATAAAAATCGAATTTTAGTCCTACGAAAGTGCCACTTTTGTAGGCTTTGAAGAAACCAGTTTTATAAACATCCGGACTAACTTTGAAGCTTCTGCTCTTAAAGATTTCAGCAAAAGTGAGTTTTGAAACGTTTTCTGCGAATTTGCTCTCTAGGAATGGAGTTCAATTTAAAAAATTGCTAAAAATCGTATTTTAGTCGTACGAAAGTACCGCTTCTAAGCTTTTAAGAAATCAGTTTCGTACATATCCAGACTAACTTTGAGGCTTCTGCTCTTAAAGGTTTCAGCAAAATTGAGTCTTGGAACGCTTGCTGCAAATTTGCTCTCTCAGAATATGAGTTCAATTTTGAAAACTTTGACGCTTCTGCTTTTAATGAACTCGGAAACATTTGCTTCAGATACATATAGTGTTAAAATAATAAGGGTCATCTTTCAAAGAGCGCCAAGATTCGAACTGTAGTCATACGAAAGTGCTACTTCTAGCCCTTGAAGAAATGACCTTTGTGCACGTTGATTTTAGTAGTTTTAGAAAAACTGATTTTCGAAACATTAGCTGCATACTCATTGTTTATGAGGAAAACAAAGGTCATCTGAAAAAATTCGCCAAAAAATCGAACTTTCCACATGCAACAGTGAGTCTGTCAACTCAGAACAGTCCTCTGAGATCTGGAAGTAGACACCTATGTGTACATCCACACAACGTTTCAGCAGTTCATCTTTAACTGTCAAGAGAAAAATTGGTTTTCCGAATTTGCGAAAAACCCAAAAAAATTTACACATTCGCTAATCGCCCGACAATCGGGGAAATTCCAGGACGAAATTGCAATCGCTTCAAATAACAAAACAGTGATTTTTCAGCTCTTGAGGATTAACTTGTCACCTTCCAATTCACGATAACTGATTACTTGCCTCAGATAAGTCCGCGATTCGATAAGATAATGCCTGATTCCTTTGCAGTCCACTCATTGTTTGAACCGAACTAAATGAGCAAAGCGTCTCAAGGCATGATCTCATCACCAACAACCACATAATGTTGGACAAAGTGTTCTGGGTTCTACTGGTCGGGTTGCTGCCCTTTTGCAGTGCGTATTCCCCACAAGTGGACATCCCAGTTAAGACTGCCAGGTTCCTTCATTTCCAGGCGAATTTTTGGCGGATACGGACATCGAGTATCCCACACTGAATCCAAACTCCAGCTACTGCTTCGAGTATACCTGGTACGGGCCTGAGTATGACAACAACAGCAGAACCAATGATACCTGCGATGACTTCAAAGATAACACCAGGGCTGGAGACTCGATTCCTTGCGCCCCTCCCTTGGTGATTTCAGGTAAAGTTGCTTCTCTCGTTCACTTGTTGATGTTAAGCCAGTTGATTCTTGTGGCGTATTCTAGAAGATGGAACGCTGCCGAATGTGGGATGGCTTTGGAACAACCATCGGGCCAGTGTACTGTGCAGGAAGGCGGAAAATCAAGCCTGCGTGACTTACACGTTCTGGGAAAACGGACTCAGTAAGCCATTGTCCAGCATGGTATATCCCGGTCAGTAACAGTCGCATTTCCAGTTCAGAACCAGACTCACATGTGCGCCAGAGTGAGAACCAAACAAGCCGCTGCCATTCCTCTGGATTGCTTCCGACAGAAAAACGACGGCTACGAAATTGAGCTTTGCGTCTGCAAAGGCGGCATAGGCCTCAGCCAGATGCCCTGCAACAGCCCCGCCGTCAGTTGCAGCCCCTTTGGGACTACCACAGTCCTCGTTTTTATTGGCTTCCTCATCAGCTGGCTCCAATAGCCCCAACCGCATGAATAAACTGTTTTTATCATACATATCTCTTTTTTCTTCCTAGTTCGGCAAGTAGCTTGGGCACAGGAAAAAGTTCCAGAGGGATGATTTCGGGCCTGGGCACAGCTACCGCCTACGCGATCGTTGCGGCCCGAGCCATGCAGCACATTTCACAGAACACCCACACCGATTATTATTTGTTTTTGGATAAGCGGATTTCGGCGATCGCTTGACTGATTAGATTATAACCGATCGTAATCGGTTTCACGCCGTTCACATTACCATCAGCAAAGAGGGCACTTTGTGCGATCAGTCACACCAGATTTATTCGATTCTTTCTGCTGTTTCTTGTTTTGAAAGCAAACAGGCTGTTGTGAAGCCTGTGTGAAGAAATTTTTTGAATATCGTTTATTTCGTTATGTTTCGGAGAGACAACAGCGCCATCATCAGATTTTAAAATTTATTCAAGCTACAAACACCAATTACCAATTAAAATATGTTGTACAAAAACTGTAATTTATAAAGTGTTAAAATATTCATTAGTTCTTGAGGAAAAGGAAACTTTCCTTTCGGGAGAGCAAAACATTTAAAAAACTTACCTCATAATTGGTAAACATTATATTCATTTAGGTCTTTGCTGTCTTGAAACCTTCATTTTGTTTGAATTATTTTCTACATTTTGTAATGTTTTGTCGAATTGAAAATGTAGAAAATAATTCAAACAAAATGAAGGTTTCAAGACAGCAAAGACCTAAATGAATATAATGTTTACCAATTATGAGGTAARTTTTTTAAATGTTTTGCTCTTTGTCTCGCCGAAAGGTAACGAAATAAACGATAYACAAAAAAAATGTGTGTTTCATACTGTGACTGGAGCCCAGGAAAGAAAATAATATAATAACAATTGCACGCAGTCAGGAAAATAAATGTGTCAGTATAAATAATCAGGTCTGTGAAAAATCTGGTTTTATATGTAAGGCATCTTATGAGGCTGGATCACGCGAATCTAAAGCAATTTTTCAAAAGTACGCCTACAATTGGATTCAGGGCACACGACAATATGGAGACCTGGAACTTTAAAACGTTTTCACGCCCTCTGTTTCAAGAGAAATGCATTTTTCAAATTTTATCTGTAGATGATATTGTAACGGAAATGGCCTGGGGTACTCACGTTTGGAATGGGGGGATCGAAATTCATGGTATTTCAGTAAATGGGAGCCCCATTTACTGAAAGCCCGCGAAGTACTGATTCCCAGACCTGCGACGACATGGACTTATGGATGAACGAAATCGAGAAACAATTCGAAAGCGATGGCACGGGGTCGGATTTGGCCTCTGCGAATATTTTGATGCAAAAGCGGCAAATGATCAAAACGCAAATGGCCGTCAAGGCGCGCCAAGTCGATGAGCTGGAGAAGCAAACTAAACATCTGGACACAGCCGCACCCGACAAGGACATCAACGAAATCAAGGTGAAAAAGAGTAAACTTGAGGAGCGCTTCCAGCTCATCAAGCAGCCCCTCATCGGAAGACAGCGACTGCTGGAAAAGAAGAAGGAAGCCCTCCAGTTCCGACGGAATGTCGAGGACGAGCTTCTATGGATAGCCGAAAAAATGTCCCTGGCAACTTCCACGAAATACGGCAACAACCTGTCCCAGGTTAACACGTTGCAGAAGAAGAACCAGTCGCATCAAACTGAAGTGGAGAACCACGAGCCGCGCGTTAACACCGTGTGCAACAACGGGCAGAAGTTGATCGATGAGGCCCACGAAGATGCGGCAGAGTTCAGCCGGCTGATCAACGAGCTGCACAAGGCGTGGCAAGAGTTGAAGAAGGCCATCGATAACAGACGAGTCAACTTGTTGAGGAACGAGCGGACGCAGCAGTATCTGTTCGATGCTAATGAGGCCGAGAGCTGGATGAGCGAGCAGGAGCTCTACATGATGGTGGAAGATCGGGGCAAAGATGAGACCAGCGTCAGGAACTTCATGAAGAAGCACGAAAATCTGGAAGCGGCCGTTGAAGCTTATGCGGACACCATCAGAGGACTGGGTGAAACTGAAAAGGCCCTGTCGGCTGCAGGACATCCTTTGGCCGAGCAGGTCGCTGTTAAACAGTCGCAACTGGACAAGCTATATGCCGGACTGAAGAATTTGGCGCAAGAACGACGCGCTAAGCTGGATGAGGCCTTGCAGCTCTTCCTGCTCAACAGAGACAATGGCGACTTGGAGCAGTGGATAACTGATCGCGAAGTGGTGGCCTCTTCTCATGAACTAGGCCAGGATTACGATCACGTTACTCTGCTATGGGAGCGCTTTAAGGAGTTCGCCCACGACACGGAAACCATTAAAAGTGAAAGAGTTGCGGGAGTCAACGACATTGCAGACTCCTTGATAGCTGCCGGCCATCCGGACTCGGCAACAATCGCCGAATGGAAGGACCGGCTGAACGAGGCCTGGCAGGACTTGTTGGAATTGATCGAAACCCGAACGCAAATGCTTGCGGCTTCCCGTGAATTACACAAGTTCTTCCACGACTGCATTTTGGAGAAGCAGGTTGCGATGTCGGACGAACCGGGCCGAGATGCTGGTTCTGTTTCAACGCTGCAGCGCAAACACCAAAACTTCATGCAAGACCTACAGACGCTTCAGAACTAAGTGCAACAGATCCAAGAGGAATCGGACAAGCTTCGACCCAGCTATGCGGGCGACGGAACTAAAGAGATCACAAATAGAGAACAAGAAGTGTCTGCGTGGGCCAGTTTGCAAATGGTTTGCGAACAGCGCAAAGGAAAACTGGCCGATACTGGCGATCTGTTCAAGTTCTTCAACCTGGTGAGGACGCTGATGCAATGGATGGACAACGTGGTGCGCCAAGAGAACAATGAGATTGATGAGCAATCAGAAGAGCCCTCAAGCAAAATTTAAAGTTGTCCACATTCACCGTTTGGCCAGATATAACCATGATCCAGGAATTACCTAATCGGGGCGATCAGGGTTTAGAAGGGGGGAGGGCAGTGCAACGGAAATGGCCTGGGGTACTCACGTTTGGAATGGGGGGATCGAAATTCATGGTATTCATGGAAACCGACGAGATGTATATGCTTATAATGAGCAAACTAAACAGAATGTACACTTGCATATGAGCTATGACCAAATTTAGAGTCTAAGACATAAATTCCATCACAGTTGAAATGTAAGCAAGCTTGCCATTTTTAGATATAAATTCAGTCACAAGATGAAATGAAAGTTACGTTACATAGGCGTTGTAATGTCGACATATTTTTTAGAATTGTTTTTTGGTGGTACCAAAATTTACTCGGGTAATACTTCGAACTCAGTAAAAAGTATCTGCTAAAAAAAATATTTTTAAACGTCAATTCATTTTTAAATAAAAATTAGATTTTAAAACATTTTTTCAAATAAAGCGTATATTTCATTTAATCAGATTTTACGTATATATTTTATCTAGCTTCTTATCAGTTCGTTTGTTCTTTAAGCAGGTACTTCTGACCCATGTTTTGTTTTTTATTTTAGAATATTTAATTTTTTCTAAGAGTTTTAGTTAAGAAATATTCTTTTAATAAACTAAATCATTATTTGTCATTACTATTTCTACCATCATCATCATTGCGCATATTTAAGGAAAAGTTTTAAAAGTAACATGTTCCTTTTGGAACCGCATTTTGAAACTTATTACCAACGTGCAACTGGAACGTTATAACCTTGTTACAGAAAAATAACCGTTTATCCCACCTCTACTGCCTAGGGCAGCCATTTTTGCAAAATCGCCAATTGGACACAATGTGGACTTCTAGAACTAAAACTACTGCGAATAAAAAAACACCTTCCTACTGGTCCAGACAATTATTGAAGCTTCTGAGGTCAGTCGTTTAAGAAAAATTGATTTTTCTAATATATCCTACATACGTGGATATAAAAAAAACGCCACCCATTTCGAAAAATTTTCAAAATTTCCGCAAGGTTTGCTAAGATTAAGACTTGCAGTCCTTCAAGAACCAACTTTTCTATATTTACAGGTAAAATTTAATCTCATCTAGACTCAGATAAATTTATTTTTTAACGACGGTTCCCCGACACGCAATGCAAAAAATGAACGTTTTCCGAAATTGGCAATTTTTCCACGCGAAGATAAACACTCTAGGATTTCAAACCAATCATCAGTTCTGAATATCCAAATAAAATTTGAACCCGTTGTCGGTTTTGGATTATGAGCAATCAATTTTTGAACAACGGCCTGCCTAAGGCAACAACCACATATGTGCAAAATCGTCAATTGGACGCAATGTGGACCTCTAGAACTAACACTACTGCGAATAAAAAACCACCTTCCTACAGGTCCAGACAATTACTGAAGCTTCTGCGGTCAGTCGCTTAAGAAAAATTGATTTTTCTAATATAACCTACATACGTAAATATAAAGGAAATAACGACATCTCTTTTGAAAATTGTTGGATATTTCCGCAATGGTTTGCTAAGATTAAAACTTGCAGTCCTTCAAGCACAAACTCTTCTACAAGGTGTTTGGTAAGTAGATGCATTCTTTGCAGGGTGATAGTGCAATTAATTTTGGACATATTTCGTTAATAGACCAGGTTCCGAAAACCATTAGTTTCCGATCTACACGGTGTTAAAGTTTTAATTAAAAAAATGTTATTTATTAATATTTCGAAAACCGCATGGACTATTATAATGAAATTTGACAGGCTTAGTCAACTAAGAACAATACACGTTTTGCTATAAAAATGTTGTTTCTATCTTTTCCCGTGGCGAGGCTACAGGCACGTCTGGGGATAATTTTAAATAAAAAAATGTTACGCCACTGAGTTTTCTAAAAGTAAATAATATTTTTCAAATTCCTGTTCAATTTGGAAGAGTTACAGTCTCTTGATTTTTTTTCTACGACGTCCCGTTTGCGAGTAAACAAATTAAAATCGATTTATTGCATAGCGTAATCGGGTTTTTATTAAAAAGTTGGCTCTGCACTAGTTTTTGTCACTGACTGACAAAAGTAATAATTGCTGTCATTTCGAGTGTCTGAGTAACTTTAGTTGTCACCTTCTTTTCATATAAGTTGAAAACTTTATTTGTTGAAATGGCTGAGTTTTCCAATGCTGAATACACAGATATTCTTTACATTTATAGACTTTCCGACTGAAATAGTGGCGGCTTCCAAATATCCGTGTCTTTGCAAACACCTATCGAAGGGTCAGTGAGTCAGGAAAAGTACAAGGTAGGAAAATTCACGTAGGAGCAAACTATAACGGAGTACCTTGATCAGCGTTTTCCTAATCGATGAATGGGTAGAGGACGCCCCATATATGGCCTGCTAGAAGCCCAGATCTAACTCCATTAGACTTTCACGTATGGGGTAGGATGAAAGAGTTGGTTTATGCCTAAGAAATACATGCAAGGAACGAATTAATACAGCGCATTACAGATGCCGCTATTACACTTAGACATACATTTTCGGCCAGGGTAACCCGTACAGAAATAAGAAGACAGGCACATGCATGCGTTAGAGAAAGGGGCTTCATTTATTTTTTTTTTCGTATTTTCGCAAGCTTGGTGCTCATTTCAATACTAAGAATAAGTAAAATTTTAATTAACAGGTAAATTAATCTAACAGGTAAAAACAAATAAAGAAACTCTAAGACTGATGTCAACTGCGGCTAGTAATAATTTTTGTAATAAAATTGATATAATCTAACAGCGCAATTTCTGCTGTCTTTATACTAAACCATACTTAACTACAACCCGATTAAGCTATGCAGTAAATCGATTTTAATTTGTTTACTCGCAAACGGGACGGCGTAGAAAAAAAAGTCAAGAGACCTTTTCTCTTCCCAATTGAACAGGAACTTGACAAATATTATTTATTTTTAGAAAAATCAGTGACATAACATTTTTCTATTTAAAATTACTACAGACGTGCCTGCACCCACGACACAGGAAAAGATAGAAACAACATTTTCATCACAAAACGTGTATTGTTCTTAGTTGACTAAGCCTGTCAAATTTCATTATAATATTCCAAGCGGATTCCGAAATATTAATAAATAAACATTTTTAAATTAAAACTTTAACACCCTGTAGATCGAAAATTAATGTTTTTCGGAATTTGGTCTATTAACGAAACCTATCCAAATTTACTTGCACTATCACCCTCTGCAAAGAATGCATCTACTTACCATACACCCTGTAAATTTACAGGTAAAATTTAATATCATTTGGACTCAGAAGAATTAATATTTTAACGACGGTTCCCGACATGCAAAGACATGAACGTTTTCCGAAATTGCCAATTTTTACACGCGAGGATAAACACTTTAGGATTTCAAACAAACCACTAGTTCTGAACATCCAAGTAAAATTTGAAGCCGTTGTCGCTTTTGGATTATGTGCAATTCATTTTTGAACAACGGTTCCTACAGGTCCAGACAATTATTTAAGCTTCTGCGGTCAGTCGTTTAACAAAATTGAATTTTTCAAATGCAACCTACACAATTGGGTAGAAATGAAAAATTTGCACCAAATTGGAAAATTCTTTAAAAATCACGCGATTACTTGCTAAGATTAAAACTCCTAATCGTTTAAGAACCAACTCGTCCATATCTAGAAGCACAATTTAAAGCTTGCGACGCAACCAGATTCAGAGGGATACATTTTTGAACGGCCTACTAACTTTAGCCAGGCAAAACTCACATTTTTCACTCACGGCAATAAATCAATAAACGCATGATAAGTTCAAAACATCTACCTTTCTGGACATGAAAACAACGTTGGATTTTTCGTTCGCTTCTGAATTCTGAGTAACTGATTTTGAATCAAGGAATCTTTGAATTAAGGCAATTTTGAAAAATCACCATCCCTCGCTTCACTACAAAACTTTATCAGACTTCAAAACATATTCAAACCAATTTTCAATCAACTGCGGCTCGTAGTTGAAGGAAAATTACTTTTTGAAGCATTACCTCCTCATAGAGGTACAACGGGAAAATAGCAATCAATTAAAAAAAAATCATGAAAAATCGTGCAATGTATTGGTCACGTAATAATTCGCAGGCCTTCAAGAACCAACTCATCTCTATCCACACAAAATTTGAAGCTTCTGCCTTGCCTGGATTGAGAGTAGTGATTTTTTGAACTACGGCCTGTAGATAACCAAATCACGAACAGGGACAGTTTTGAAAAATTATTATGCCTATCCGTTCTAAGCAGCTCCAGGAAGTTTCAAAATATCCCACATACACCAAAAAACCGTATTCTAGTCAAATAAAACTGCCGGACTCGGAATCGAGTGGGTGGATGGAAAAGATCGATGATTCCAGTTCACGTCACTGCTTTTGAAATTCAGCGCAATAACCTACCCAAATCCAGAGCGGGATTTTCTGGATGGCGAACGTGAACTCGAATCAGCCCTCGATCGGTTAAGGTGTAAATGAGACTGTTTGGAAAAAATCTCCCGTTCATTAGGCCAATCAGTATGATTTTGATGTCTGGATAAAGGAGCTTAGATCTCGGCCGCTCAAAGAGCTGCTAGCATAAGACAACAGTCGGCTCATTTGCATGGAAATTAGTTTGCGATTTTTGAAAAATTAGTTTACCCAAACTGGTTATCAACTAAGTTCATTAGCACATCCAGTTTTTATCGCCCCCCAATCACTCTGGCTGACGTCTATTTGTATCGTTCCGATGACGTCAAAGGAATTGATTATCAAGAAACGGGCATGCTTTTTATCAGATTATCAGCATGGGCATCGTAGATAAATATTCAAGCTTTTCCTCCTCCAAGAGGATTTCTTCTGGATTCCGCTCTATGTGTGTTCTCCAACAGTTTGGCCTATTTTCGTTCATCCCACACTCAAAACAGAAGCAGCTGCGATTTATTTTTAGCCTTTACTAGCGCCCTTTGTATGCATTCTGGCATCAAAATGCGTCATCCCACTCGTCTTTCCAAAGGAGTAGGATTTCGATATTGCGAGGGCGTCAATTGAACATTCCCGGAAATCGATTCAGACACTCGACTAAGCAAGTCATTAAGAAGAATTGGGATTAAATACTCAAAAGCGCTGCATTGAAATTGAGGATTCTTGAGTCATTTTTCACAGGCCAATTGAGGTGAGCGACAATTTTTTTCTGGGAACGATAGGCGCAAAGCAACGAAGTTAAATGCTTTCCGTGTTCTCCGCTAATTAAAGGGGTTTAAATAACTCGCCCTACAGCTTTTCGTCTATTTTTATCAAAATTAACTATTTATGGATTTATTCCTGGATAAAGCAGTGGGCTTTCCATGTTTTGGCTGCACCTATTTTGTACGACAAGCCAATTGCCCACAACAGGAGTAAAACCTGGAAAATTGTTGTTAGAGCAAATAAATACTCCAGAAATGTGGACAATATGTTGGGCTTGAGATCCGAAAACTACCCAACCAAAATTTCCCTTTTCTGCCTTATTTCTATTAATGAGCATTACATTTCCAGAAAATGAAAGAACTTTTCTGAAAAATCGCGAAAATTACAAAATTTAATCAACCAATATACAACTCAGAGACCTTTGAAAAAACACCAGCCTACAATGTCCAGACAAGGTTTAATGCTTTGGCGGTTTCAGAAAAATTAATTTTTGAACAACGCCCTACAGATAAATCAAGAGGGGCTATTTTAAGTAATAAATGTGTTAAGTAATAAATGCTCTGGAACCTCGAAGTAACTACGTTTTCATAAGTTTTGGGCAATTTTTGGAGCTTCAAACCCAACTTGTTTAAAATAAACATTTTTTTAAATAATTCCTGTTAGAAAATATGTGTCTTAATTGGTCGTTTGATCCTACAAAAGTACAACTTTTAGTTAGTTTGAAACAACACCGGTCTACATTTGTCTTAAAATGGTTTGAGGCCTCTGAATCTTCTGGTTTCAGTAAAATTTATTTTTGAACTGAGCGAGAACGTTTTTGAAGAATCGCCAAAATTCACCTTTTGACTTTTTAAAAATAGGGATTTTGGATTCTCAAAACAACTACCTTTTTGCACGTTCGGGCAAATTTTCAAGCTTCAGTCTCAGTGGTTTGGGAGAATTTTTTAAATGATAAATACCATCAAAGAGCAGAAATAAATTTGAAAAATGTTCAAAATTCGAAATTTGGGCCTACAAAAGTACAACTTACAGCCTTCTGAACTTGTAGACTCCGATCTACATGTCCAGACCAGATTTAAAGCTTGTGGCTCTTCTAGTTTCAACAAAATTCATTTTTGAACAACGGCCTGCACTCGTTGAGAAAATAACATTTTTGAAACATGACTCAAAATTCGCATTTTGGGCACGCGTCAACATAAGTCTAAGGAATTCAAATCAACCACATTTCTTCAGTTTCAGACTAAATTTCAAGATTCATTCTGCACTGCTTTAAGAGACATATATTTTTCCAAAACCATCCACAGATTAAACGAGCTGAAGAACGAAATTAATAAAAGTTAATCACGCCCCTCTTTTTAAATCACGCGTAATTTTGCCGTAATCCGATAGAGTATTCTTTGCTCATAATACAGTCTATACAATGGTGTCCGATTGCCGCAACAAAAATAAGTTTTTTTTTGTAATTGAACATGATTAGGGCTGCTTTATTTTAAACCAAAATATAAAACAATCACCAAAACCTGCACTTTCACTTCATCACTGCACAACTTTCCAGCCCTCAAGAATCAAGCCGTCTGCATCTACAGAAGAAAGTTCAACTCTACGTCTCAATTGGATTAGGAGGAATTCATTTTTGAATAACGGCCTGCAGAAGTGCAATTACCAAAGACATTTCTTTAAATCGCTAAAATTCATGTTTYGGATGTTATGTAATAAACGCTCTGGAACCTCGAAGTAACTACATTTTCATAAGTTTTGGGCAATTTTTGGAGCTCCCAACCCAACTTGTTAAAAAAAAAATATTTTTTAAATAATTACCGGCACCACCAAAGATCAGGAACACGTTAGAAAATATGTCTTAATTGGTCATTTGATCGTACAAAAGTACAACTTTTAGTCCTTTGAAACAACACCGGTCTACATTTTCAGACAAGGCTTGAGAGGCTTCTGGCTCTTCTGGTTTCAGTAAAATTTATTTTTGAACTGAGCGAGAACGTTTTTGAAGAATCGCCAAAATTCCGCTTTTGTCTTTTAAGAAATAGTGCTTTTGGACTCTCAAAACAACTACCTTTTTGTACGATCGGGCAAATTTCAAGCTTCAGTCTGAGTGGTTTAATAACCGTTTGAAGTTTGAAACAATACCAGTCTACATGTGCAGACAAAGTTTGAGTCAAGAAAAATCATTCTTGAACAACGGTCTGCAGGCAAAATTAACTACGAATGGATTTTTCCTATTCCTCAGAAAACTGTTGGCTTTTTATGTTCTTGCTGCGCCTCAATCCGTCGGACAAGCAATTTTCCAGGGATTTAAGCAGTAGATTTCTTTAGGAACCAAAAGCCACCTCAACTGGTCTGGTTCTCGTTTCCGAGCCGCAAGAATTCGGTGGAAACTTCTAAAAATAGCTTCAGCTTCGGGGAAAAGCTGCAATTGCTACTGAAACATTGAAGGGAAAAGCGACGCGTCTGACTGGCTCCATAGAAGGCGACCAGTGCCGAAAGATGCTTCATTTTCATAATTCCGCATTCAACAACTTTATTCGTCCGCCTTAAGCCTGGATATTTCTTCCATACCAATAAAACAATTGCACTACTAGATCGTCCAGTCAAGGCAACTAATTACTTTTGCGCTAGCAACTGGTCAGCGCCTATTTATAGGCAGTTGCTTGACTTTTTTCAATTCCTCGAACCGCGCCATCCAGAAAAGCCAGGAACGGCCCGTGCTAATCCATTATTTATCCCTAATTAGGGCACTCGATAGGAAATTTCCCATTGGAAAAATCCCTTATCGGCAATGGAAACATGTTCCAGATGGAACATTCAAACTGCCAATTTTTTCACGCAATAACGCTTAGGCGTGTAAGCATCCTGTGGAGGCTCCTGGAAAATTCGTCGCGTTGAATCAGACAATAATTTTTTTAGTCAAAAGCCCTGGACACACCCAATGGAGCGGCCTCACTGGAACGTAGTCCAAGTCCACCGTAAAGTCCTCTCCAACCCTGCAGGAGTTATGAATGAAGCCCCTTCATGGAAACCCGGCCGCCCTGTTTCCAGAATTCGCGCCTCTTTAGCCTGGATCAATAGCTGGCGCCCCAGCCGGACCAATGGGCGGTTCGCTTGTTGAATGCGCTACCAATGACAGCCGGCGTACAGCGAGTTCGGGCCATCCCCCACCCCCGCGCTTTTCATTGATAAGTGTGTGGGTGCCCGATGTAGGGGAACTGACGGTTATAAATAGGGGTGCCGCTCTAGGGGGGTGACACATTTTCCATAAGGACTGCGCCCGATCCAGAATTCCAGACCAGTGCCGGTGTATTGCGATAAATTTGCCATTTATCTACTGTTAGTGTGTTAGTGACTTCGGCCTCCAGCCCAATGGTAAGTCAAGTTCATGCACGTTTATTCAAAAAGTTTTTCAAGATTCTCCTTGAAATTAAACTAGGATTTTCTTCGCGCCATATGGTGGTGCCAACATTCATGACAACAAAAATGGCGAAAGTTAGTAACACCCCTTTTTTTCATTCACCCAGTATTATGCGTAAAGAACTAACTCAAACTAACTGTACAGGGTGTCCCATCTGCGTGACAAAAAAATCAATAATTCTTGTTGTTTATTTGGTAGTTCTTTAAGCAGACCTGTTTTATACAGGGTGCTCAAGAAATGGGCATTGCTGGAAAAATTTGCTAAGGTACAGAGTCGATCAAAGATTGAGGCCTTTTGGGGTACAATCGAGGTTGGCTAGAATTTTCCTATTTGAAAAATTACTCTGAGAAAGCATCGGAGTATAACTTTATGGTCTTCAAGAATGAACTCTTGTGTATCAATAGCCAGAAGTTGAGCCTTCCATCTCATCTGGATTTGGAGAAATTTATTTTTGAACAACAGTCCACATTTTTAAAGATCAGAGAAATTTTCGGAAAATCGAAAATAAAGAGCTGAAAAATACAACTCTAGGGGTTCTGAAAAAACGTCGGTCTATACACGTATGTCCAGATAAGATATGAAGGATCAGGCATTTCCGGTTTCAACAAAACTAATTTATAAATAACGGCCCCCAAGAAAAGAGGAAAAACGTTTTGAAAAAATCACCAAAATGCACTTTAGACAAGAGTTCAAAGACAGAAATGTTCTACGAACCCACACAAAATTTGAGCCTTGTTTCTTCTGAATTAGGATGATTTAATTTTGCAATAGCCTGCATTTCCAAAGATCGGATAAATTTTCGAAAAATCGGCAAAATTCGAAAATGAAGAGGGCAAAAATACAACTCTTAGCTCTTTGAAGAAAACACGGTTCTTCATGCAAAAACATGGTTTGAAGGTTGCGAAATTTCTGGCCTCAGCAAAAATAATTTTTGAACAACACCCTGCAAACATAAAAAGGCAGAATTTTTTGGAAAATCGCAAAATTTCGCCCTTTACACAAGCGGTCATAAAAGCCTTAGGAGTTCAAAGAGAGAATCTTCCGTATCCTGACAAAAATTGAGCCGTTTGCCTCATCTGGATCTGGGTGAGTCTGCGTTTCCAAGGATCGGAGAAGTTTTCGAAAATGGCAAATTGGCAAAAATGCAACTCTCTGGGCGTTGAAAAAAACACCGTTCTTCATGTTAAGGCAAGATCTGAAGATCCGGCATTTTTGGCTTCAGCAAAAATCATTTTTGATCAATGGCCAGAAGGCATACAAATAAGGCACATTTTGAAAACACCTCCAAAATTCGCAGTATAGACACGCGGCTATAAAAATCTAAAGACTTGAAAGAAAGAATCTGCCTTAATTTTCAGACAAAATTTAAGTCGTATATCTCGTCTGGCGTTAGAGGAATACATTTTTGAACACCAATCGACAGTTTCAAAGTCCGTACAAAATTTTGAAAAATCGCCATTATTTGAAAATCAAGAGTAAAAAAATAAAACTGTTTAAGCTTCGAAAAAACACAGCTCCATATATCCAGACAAGATTTGAAGAATCCGGCATTTCTGGTTGTAGCAAAATTAATTTTTCAACAACGGCCTGGAAGCATAAAAAGGAAGAATATTTCGAAAAAATCGTCAAAATTCGCACTTAAGACAAGCGCTCATACAAACCTGAGCAGTTCGAAGAGAGAACTGTCCTCCGTATCCTGACAAAATTTGAACCTTTTGCCTCATCTGGATTTGGATGAATCAATTTTTTTTAATAGCGACCTGCATTTTCAAATAAAGAAGAAATTTTTGAAAAATCGCCAAAATTGGAAAATTAGGAGCACAATAATACAATCTTTTGAGATTTGAAAAACACGGTTTGACATGTCGAGACACAGTTTTTGGAAAATTGCCAACATTTTAAAATTGGGAGCATAAAAATACAACTCTTTATGCTTTGAAAAAACGCCGTTCTGAAAGTCCTGATAAGATTTGAAGATTCCGGCATTTCTGGTTTCAGCCAAAATTATTTTTGAATAACGTCTTGCAGACATACAAAGAAAGAACATTTTGAAAAAATCTTAAAAATTTTCCCTATAGACATGCGGTCATAAAAGCAATACGACTCTAAAGGAGGAATCTTCCTCCATATCTGGATTAAATTTGAGCTTTCTATCGAAGATCGATTCGGAGAAATTAATTTTTGAACACTGGCTTGGATTTCCAAAGATCGAAAACTTTTTTGGAAAATCGTCAAACTTGTAAAATCCAAAGCAGGAAAATAAATACAACTCATTCAGCTATGAAAAAACATTGCTCTATATGTCCAGACAAAATTTGAAGATTCGCGATATTCTGGATTCAGAAAATACATTTTCTGAACGTCGGTATGCAGGCATTCAAAGACATAACTTAAAAAAAACTCCAGAATTTGCACTTTAGACTGACTCCATAGTCTTACAACTTCAAAGAAGATCGCTTCCTTCATATCTAGACAAAATTTGAGCCTTTTATTTCCTCTGGATTTGACGGAATTAATTTTTAAAACCCGGACTGCATTTCCAAACATCGGAGCAAATTTTAAAAAATTGACAAAAATCGAAAATCGAAAGTTCAAAAATCCAACTCTTCGAAAGTTGAATAAACACCGTTTACATATCCAGCCAAGGTCTGAAGATTCTGAAACCTTTGGATTCAGCAAAATTAATTTTTGAACAACGGCCTGCAAGCAATTAACAAATTAACATTTTGAAAAATCTAAGGGCCATAAAAGCACTTCAAAAGAAGAACTTTTCTACATATCAACACAATATCTGATCCTCTCTCTTTTGGATTTGAAGGCATTCATTTTTGCAAAACGGCCTGCAATTCCCAACAACGGGAAGTTTTGGAAAATTTGGCAAAATTCGAAAATTGAGCCGACGATAGTACAACTTATATTTCTTTAAAAAATATAAGACTACATGTTCAGACAGGGTTTGAGTTTTTGAGCTCTTCTGGTTTTGGCAAAACTAATTTGTGGACAACGGCCTGCAGGCATACAAAGAAAGAACACTTTGGAAAAAAATCAAAAAATTGCGCTTTAAACATGCGACCATAAAAGTCTTAGTACTTCAAGGGGAGAACTTTCCTACATATCGTTACAAAATTTGAACCTGCTACCTGACCCGGATATAGAAGAAAACATTTTTGGACATTTTCTAAAAATCGACAAAACTTAAAAAAATCGCTAAAATTCGAAAATTCATCTTACGATAGAACAATTTATGGATCCTTAAAAAATTACCAGCCTACAAACCTAAACAACGTTTCAGCTTTTGGGTTTTTCTGGTTTCAGCACATTTTATTTTTGAACAACTCCCTGTTGGTATGTGAGAAAACGCAGTGCGGCTCTAAAAGTCCTAGAACTTCAAATTAACAAGCTTCCTCAACATCCAAGCCAAATTTCAGCATTTATTCTTCACTGCTTCAGGGGAAATACATTTTTCAAATATCAGCTGCAGATTAGAGTAAACACCGAATTATATAGACTAATCAGAGTTAAAAACTCCCCTAATTCCAAAACACTTGAAAGGTGTGTCGCCGTATTCCGAAAAACTATTCCATTGTTTTGGTAAAAATATACAGGTTCTCTGGACAATTCACGAGTGTTAACCAGAACCACTTGTTTTCTCAAACCCATTGAACTGAAAATCAAAGCATGCACTGATGGCGAAAATTTCGCGCTTAATAAGCGCAACCGATACGGTTTCAGAGCTCAAACGACTCATTGGTCTGTAAACTGCACGCTTTGAAGCGCCTAATTTGTTGCAGATGGCCCTCAAAGTGCTGCCAATCGCGCAACTTCTTCTCATCCTCTTTACCGACTTGGTGCTTTGCTACCCCAGCGGCTACTACAGCTCGAAACGGTACCGACAGACGCACAGACCGGCCGCCTACGATCCCTACGACTACTACAGCAGAAGCCAGCGGTACCCGTTCGGGTACTACCCCAGCTACAGCCAGCTCTACCCTGAGGAGTACTACTATAGCCAAGATGGCTATTCGCCCGTCTACTACGTGGCCCCTAGGAGCGCTAAGTACGACTACTATCAGTCGGCACTCCCTTACTCCTATCGCCAAGAGGTTCCTGCCAGCAGAAGCAAATACAACTACTACAACGATGCAGATCAGGCTATTGAAGACCCAGAGAAGCTGCTGCAGGACTACGAGCGGGAGCAGCGGGAAAGGTCGCAACCGATTGGCCACGAGATTCGCTATGAGACCGACTACGGTTCTGATGATGACTCAACTCTGGCTGATACCAGTGCCGCCTTTCTCAACAACCTGATGATGCAGCAGATGTACCAAGACGCCCAGCAGCCGTCCAAGAACTCCTACGACTATTCCGCGGGTTGGAACGACATGCCCTACGATCGGGCGGTTGCCCTGGAAGATCAGGAAGTGGAGGAGCTGAAAGAGCTGCCGAAGAAGCAGAAGGAGCGCAAGGCCAGGCAGCGAAAGCAGCGCAAACAGCGGATCAACAACGACACGCCTTCCAAAAGGAGCGAGAGCAGCGCCATAGTCTTCACGGACCGAAAGCCGGTTGTAAAAGAGGAAGAGGAAGCACCTAGGAGGGACACCAGAGGACAGAAGGAAGAAGTGCTGATGAGACCGGCCACGCCCGTTAGGCACCCGTTCTCCAATTCGGTGCTGGACATGATGAACCGACAGGAGGAGAGAAAGAGATCTCCTTCAGTTTACGAGCAGATCAAGCAGATGTTGGAGATGGATAAGAACGACGAGGTGAGTGAAGCGAATTTTCGGTTTTGAATGCACGTACATAATAAGGCCCTCTCGGCTCCATTCAGCTGCACCAAACCTACCGTAATAAAACATTAGTGGGCGCAGCATGGTTTGAATGCACTCAATGCGCCGTTGAACTGAGCCCCCCTTATTAAGCAACATGCTTATTGATTTCGCAGCGATATTAAATGATAATTTACGTCACCAGAAACTTGGCTGGCTGACGTCAATCGGCCAGGCCTAATGACAATAAACGCAGCAGGCTGCGGGAAGCTGAGAACCAAAATTACATAAAACCTCCGGAGGAATTCAATTATTCTGAATAAATGCCGGTGGGCTGACGTCATAGGCGGCAAAAGGGCTCGTGTGATGTAATCGACTCGTGGAATTTTGGCAGCGAGCCAGCGCTCAGCTATAGCGCACTGCAGTCGGCATGAATGAACCATTTTCATCGCCTTTGTTAGCTATAATGGCTACCGGCTTGATGACTTTCCACCTACTTCTTAGCTTCAGTGTCTTTCAATTGATCCTCATTCAAGAATTTTTTTTAACCAGGTAGAGGAAAAATGAGGAGCGTTCCCTTTGTAGTTTGCGGAGCAAGATACACCATAAAACTTTTCGGACTTCAAGACCATTTTGAAGCATATATATGACCTCATGTAGAGTTAACAGAAAAATCTCCTTCAATTTAATAATTCACCAAAAATCGTCCAGTGTCTTGATCACGCTATAACTCGCAGGCCTCAAAGAACAAACTCTTCTGTATCCTCATACAAATTTTCAAGCTTCTGCCTCGTCCAGATTCAGAGTAGTAATTTTTTGAACTACGGCCTGTAGATAACCAAATTATGAGCAACGACAATTTTTAAAAATCATCCTATCCATTCTAAGCAGCTCCATGAAGTTTTGAAACATTCCACATACACCAAAAAACCGTATTCTTATCAAATAAAACTGTCGGAGTCGGAATCGAGTGGGTGGATGGATCGATAATTCCAGTTCACGTCAGGGCCCGGTTAGGAATTTCCGATAAAAACAAGAGAAAGATACATTTTAAGTCACTGTATCGAAAATGTTCTAATTTAACGAAACGATATTTACAACCGTTCTAACTTTTTAAAAGTGTAAAATTTCTCATAAAGCCTAATCAGGAAAAAAACCATCCTTAGAAATGCTCTATCCAAAGGTTCCTAACCGTTTCTACGACGTAGGCTTTTAACTTCGCTCGGTACGTAAATGTTATATTTATGCTTACAACTTTTTAAAGATTAAGAATTTATAATGCAGTTTCTATAGTAAAAGAGATCTTACAAAACGCTTCATCAAACAGGCCCAGATGATTATTCAAATATTTCCAACCATTTCGGAGAATTAAGCTCTTAAACTCCTATTGCCTCTTAAGTGTTGRCATTTTCGCGTGTATCCTTTTAAAGGTTGCAAATTTCGGATAAAGTTCTATCAGAAAAAAACAGCCTTAAAGGTGGTCTATAGAAAAGATTCTAATGGCTTCTACGATATCTCCAACAGTTTTTAAGATGTACGCTCTAGAACTTAGTTCGGTGCTTAAATCTTAAATTTTTACTTACAACTTTTTCAAGGTTAGGACTTTGTAATACAACTTTATAATGAAAGAAAGCTCGTAAAACGCTTTATCGAACGGGCCCTGATGACTGTTCAAATATTTCTAACCATTTCAAAGAATGAAGCTCTTAAACGTCTTAAGTGTTGACATTTTCGCGTGTAACATTTTAAAGGTTGGAAATTTCGGATAAAGTCTCATCAGAACAAAACAGCCTTAAAGCTGCTCTATCGAAAAGATCCTAATGGTTTCTACGATATCTCCAGYAGTTTTTAAGATGTACGATCTAGAACTTCGCTCGGTGCTTAAACCTTTTATTTTTGTATTAMACTTTTTAAAGGTTAGAAGTTCAAATGCAACTTCTCTAGTAAAAGACAGCTTACAAAATTCTTTATCAKACATGTCCTGATGATTGTTCAAATAATTCCAACCATTTCTGAGATTTAAGCTTTTAAACTTCTATTGCTTGAAAAAGTTGACATTTTTGCCTGTAACTTTCTAAAATTTGTAAATTACAGATAAAATCTTAAAGATGCTCTATGGAAAAGATCATAATGGTTTCTACGATATTTCCAACAGTTTTTAAGGTGTACGCTCTAGAACTTCGGTCGGTGCTTAAATCTTAAATTTTTACTTACAACTTTTTAAAAGTTAGGAGTTGATAATACAACTTTTATAGTGAAAGAGAGCTAATAAAACGCTTTATCAGACAGGCCCTGGCGATTGTTGAAATATTTCCAACCATTTCGGAGAAATAAGTTCTTAAACTTCTATTGCCTTTTAAGAGTTGACATTTTCCCGTGTAATTTTTAAAGGCATGAAATTTCTTATAAAGTCTAGCAAGGAAAGGCAGCCTTCGATACGTTTTAGCAAAAAGGTTGTGCTAAATATTCAGGTACATGCGATCGTTTCCGAGAAATATGCTCTTGAACTTTGAAGGCCGCGCACAATTTAACATTTTGTGGGGAGAGGCATTGAAATAAATCCTTTCTTAGTAGTTGTCATTAACCAAGCCACCAGCCAATCAAACCTATTCTATATGTTTGAAATGGGTGTAATCAAGAACTTAATCCGGACTTAGTGTTAATTGCCGATTTTGGTTTCAGAAGCAATCGATTGATGAAGACGTGAGACCATCGATGAAGAAGCGAATCGTGTCCAGTGAAGACAGCCTGACGAGGCAACTGTCCGTGTTGAAGACGACCCACTAGATGCAACTGAAGACAAAAATGCATGTACAAACATAGGTATTTAGAGTAGCTGTCTATATTCTTGAGCATTTGAATTAGGAGATGTTTTAACTCGGACCGAATTGACCAAAGACGAAACCTCCCAAACCCAGAAACTTCCTATCGCCACTTGACTTGTTTATCAACTTATTTAAAATTGTCTCGTAATTCGTCTTTTTGATAGAATATAGAACGTAGAACTGTAGAACATATGAAGACTGATCAAATTTAAGTATTACTAAATCTAATTAAAAACGATAGAGAACATTGAACGTGCTGCTTTTTAACTCCTTCCACTCTAGATAGGCGAATCTACTATATATTTAACTATTAATCGATTAAGAAAGACATTCATCAATTCCTCCTCTATATGCTAAGCTAGGTCTAAGGGTGCTTAGTAGGATACATAGCGACGCGTTTAATTCCTGTATATACTTGTCTCAGTTATCTAGATGAAACAGGGTAACTGAATTGAAATAGCTTGATGATGATGGAAACCCACCCTTTAACTGAGTAAACGACTACTGTACTTTCAAACATTGCAGATTTCACTTGTGATACAGAGAAATAAGGACTGTCAATGTTAGACTACATTTAACTCGACTTTGGCCCCGATCGTTCGGTGTGTGTATATAAATCTAGAGTGTCCACATAAAAACCTCTCAGAAGTTGTATCTGAACATCGGTCATTGAAAACCTCCTGCTTCATTCAACTACGCGCTGCTACTGCTTAGATCTAATTGACAATAAAAGCTGCAACCACTCTGTACATACTTAAGAACTCTCTGTAGTGCGCCATAGATTTAGAAGGCAGAAAAGGGAAAATACAGCACATATAGATATTTTTGTAATGGTTAGGGACATTTGGAGTTTGTCTTCAGCACTAACCTCTAGCCGCTTAGCTCTGTATATGTTTTATCAATCGCTGGCCTGTTTTGGGAGGCGCCTAGTCCGGACGTTTCACACACTATCCTGAGCTTAATCCAACACCAACATAATACTGAATGGCGTCCTGACTGGCCCCAGTCCCAAGCTGCTCAGCGTTAGCTTTAAGGGTGAGTCAATTAGGGAACTGGCAGACCTGATGGTCGGTTGCTCAATGCTTCAACGTCTGCGTCCGAAGAGTCCGCGACCGACCGCTGGTAGGAAGTGAAGGCGAAGATAAAGCGCCACAGTGTTGTACATATCTCTTCATATTTTTTTACATAAAATGTATCAATTCTATATATTTTGATAATATATAAAGTTGTCTTTAGCTGACGTACGATAACTATTGTTAGATGACATCCAGGCATTACTGAACTAGCGATTAAGGAACACTTACGCTGATTGGGCGTGTTAAAACTATTGTAACTTAATGACTGAAGAATAAATGTCATTATTGAAGCTTTTCGAGTTTTCTTTCGACTCTACGCCAATCATCCAAACAACTAGACTAACAGTTTAGTTTAAAGCTGTGAGGAGAGTCTCTATTTACTTGAGAGGATTCTAGTGACTGGAATTCTCTGTCTATACTTACAGCAAAATTCCAGCAAGCTTTAATTTAATTAATTCCCCAGGCTTCTCCTGGGCATATCATACAAGCTGGCTTAATACTTATTAAGTTGTCCCGTTGATTACTAACATTCCACTTCGGCTGGAATTTGACCAGCAATCATTTCTGACATAGCAGGAATAGTAGGAAAACAAATTCCTGTCGCTCTATCATTTCAGCGCCAGGAAAAAGCTTTCCAAACATTGTTTTGCTGGGAATTGGACGCAAGCGGCTTCCTCGAGAGCTTTCAATTCGGTTTCAGGTAAACAATCTGCATGTTTGAGAGTACTTCTTTGAATAAGTGGAAGTTCTGGAAAATCAATGAGGTCTTCGAAACGATTGGGGTTATCTGCAATTATTTGCTTAGGGTTTGTCTATAAATGGTGTGGCTTTGGGAACTTGTGAGTTTTGGGGTTTTATTGCACAGCATGTATGGTTGGGGCGTTTTCCCGAAAAGCCTTAAGTTCCGACATTTTTATTCTTGATTCAAATTGTGTAGACGTGTTAAATGAGGATGCTTCTAGAACTATTCCAAACTTCAGGCTTAGATCTGCTCTCGTTTTTGAGTTACACAATTTTTTTCCACAAGCGCGCATGTTTGGTAGTATTTGCTGCATTACGGATAAACGTGAAAAATATCCACAAGCTAAACGAGAGCTCCGAATTTATTGAAATTTTGCATAAATAAGAACTAAAGATACTAAAAATTACCTTTTTATATCTGTGCGAATCTGCGAGTGCTGACTTTTTAACCACAAAGCGCATTTTTAATAACACATTCTGAATTACGGACGAAAGTTTGAAAATCCACAAACTAAACAAGAGCTTCGAATCGATTGAAATTTCGTACTTTTAATAGCTAAAGCTTCTTAAAAAAATTCCAAAATTATAGCTCAAAATATGCTCTGGGCTGCGAATTATAAATTTATAACCACAAGCGCGCGATTTTGAGCCTATTTCCTGAAGTAGGTACAGATGAACGAAAGAAGTCTACAAATTGAACGCGAGCTCCAAATTAAAAATGAGAACCAAAGCTCTTCTTAAGATCTCCAAGCTTACTGTCTCATATATCCTCAAACTAAACAAGAGCTTGAAATCGATTGAAATTTCGCACTCTTAATAAGGAAAGCTTTTTCTAAGAACTTCCGAAATTACAGTTCAACATCTGCTCTGGTCTGCGAATTATAAATTTATGTTACAGACCGTATATGCAAAACCGGCATTACATAAAATGACTAGTCCGTATATAAACTGACTGAAGATTTCAGTCCATATGTATAACAAATTTGTCCTTCAAGAAACGGACTAGTCGGTTTTTAAAAGCTCTAGACTGTTTATAAACGGTCCAACTTCGACTAGTCCGTATGTAAACGGACTAAACCCCGGTTAATGCAGACTTTATGCAGTTTTAGCTTGGCATTTATTTTGGTTCTAGTTTGAACTACCCTTAATATTAGGTATAAGAAAAGAGTAGGTTGTTCAAAAATTTCGCTCAAATGCACTTCAAATCCATTGAAATTCTGGAACATTCATAGGTATACTGGAAGGGCGTCGGCAGCCATAAGGGAAAAGGCGGCAAAAAAATAGAAATCGAATGCACGCTGGGATTTTTTTATAAACACGTTGTTATTAAAACAATTAAATAAATAAGTATAGAAAAACAAACAAACGATACAAATCGAACTAATTAAAACCAACGTTTAAAAGGCAAATTGATCTACCACTTTCTTCTAGTGAAATACTACAAATTCTGAGAAACACACGTATATGTTCTGTCCACACTGATCATTAGGTACCCTTTATTTAAACCCCGGCTAGTCTGGGCAACCTATTTTGTTCGCTCATACAGTTGTTCGAAAAACCTATATTTTTAAATTTGAGCTTATATTATTAATGACTAAATTTGATTTACTTTTGTAATTTCATATCTGAAATATATCGTATTTAGCGTCGCCTTTAATAAAGAACAAACTATTTTTACCAGAATTTTTGCAGTTGACAATTGAAAATGTAAAAATCGCATAAAACATCATTGCGCTTGAACAAACGGCCTGGATAGCAATCGTCCGTATATAAACGGTCTAGTCTGTATATTAAGTGACATGTCTTTTTGCATACGGTCTGCTGTATTACGCCGTATATAATGGCCTAGTCTGTATATATACGGTCTGATTCTATATATCGTCTGTAACATTTATAACTGCAAGTGAGCACGTTTGAGCCTATTTTCTGAAGTACGGATGAATGATTGACGCCTACAAACTGAAGGAGAGCTTAAAACTAATTGCAATTTTCCACAAATACGAAGCAAAGCTTCTTCTAGAAATCTCCAAACTTACTGTATCAAATCTGCGAAAATCTGCGCGTGATGAATTTTTGACCACAAAGCGTACTTTTAATAACAGTGAATTACGGACGAAAGTTGAAAAAATTCACAAACTAAACAAGAGCTTCAAATCGATTAAAATGGCGTACTTTTAATAGGCTAATATAGCTCAAAATATGCTCTGGGCTGGGAATTATAATTGTATTTTGTGAACTACAGAATAATTTAAAAAGTCTACAAACTGAACTAAGTTCCAAATTAATTGAAAGTTTGCACAAAAAAGAAGTACAGCTTCTTCTATAAATATGCTAAATTACCGCCTGATATCTGGGCTACCTTCCTTCAATTTTACCCTTCAAATTTCCCTTCAATTTTAGCAAACAAGGTTATTTCTATCAATGTTGAAAATTGCAGCCCTTGGTCATGGACACAAGGAAGCATGTTTGGAGCCCTTTTCAAAAGTACCTAAGAATTTCAAGAAATTGCCTGAACTGAACGAGGGCTCCAAATTAATTTAACTTTTGCGCTTTTAATAGCTAAGGCTCCTCCTACAAATGTCCGAAATTACAATCTCAAATCTACTTTGGGGTTTGTGAATTTTTCAACAATATCATGAACAACACAAATTCCGTTTAAAAAAGTCCGAAACACCATCAAGTGCTTCGAACTCTCCCCAATCATCACGCAAAGATTATTCTAGTATCAAAGTAGCGAATTTCCAAAAACAAACATGCACATTGTTGAACGCAAATGCAGCTTCCCTGCTCGTCCAATGCGATCAGGTAAACACTACTCATTAAAATAAAATCGCTTTTTCTTATTGAGTATCAGTCGGCAGGTCTGGTGGGGGCAAAAATCAATGCAAAGGCAGCGACTGTAATATATGAACATCATAAAATAGCGGCAGCATTAAAGCTGGATTCGTGTTCATGTCTATCCAGAAGACGTGAACGACACTAATGTGATGCGCAGCGGGACTATGTTGCTGTTTATATTTCATTCCACGCAATTCTAGGCTTGAATATCAAATAAGGGACTAGTCGGAGGAGGGCCCAAGAGAAAAATAATCATAAAACGGAAATTAGTTCCTAAAGACTCCAGCTGACAAGAAAAGTTAGCGTTTCATCCTCCCAAACGATTGATTTAACGGAGCAATGCTCCGTTCTCTCGTTACGAGCCCTCTTGCTCCTATCTGCTCCAAATAAAATATAAAGTAGCGGAACGCCGGGTAATGAAAGTTGCTGCTGAAGACACGCGCGATTAAATTTACTACCGATTAGGCTGTAAAGGGGCCTCATAAATGCAGTGGAGATGCCCGAAGCCAACAACACTCAATTGCACACCTCAACAACATGCCCGTGACACAATTAGGAACTGGGCTTCCACTTAATGACAATCCAGAGCCGGCAATCAATTTTTAATTATCGGCGGGCGGAAGAAGAGAAAAGGGCACACGTGGAAATGGGGTCGACAACTCTGAGGTTATTTACCTGCCCCCGTTTCGGCCCACTTGCGATTCAATAGCAGTCCGTGGCTTAAATCGAATTGGTTTTCTCATCCAGTTTGGATTCGATATTAATTTCTTCGCTCACTCTCGAAATCAAAGGTGGATTGATCGAGTTCAGTCACCGGAAGAATCCGAGAGTGACGAACTCCCAGATGTCCCCGGCCGGCGGCCCATCGTCTTCTTGCAGCAGAGTCGATACAGCCTTGAAAAGTAGGCCACCGGGGTGCATTTTGCAACTCCCTCATCAGGCCAACGAATTTTTAGGTCAACGACCTGAGCCCTCCCCTGGAATCAAACCGGATTTATATACATCGTTTTTCCGGATGGCCTACATTGCCCGAGCCTGCCGGACGCGATATTTGCACATCCATTGACTTCAGGCTTTTGCGTTTGTAGTGAGGCCGGATTTCTTCTTGAAAGGACATGCAGTTCAAAAAGAATTGTTTCTCCTCCCACAACCCCGGACTTCCTTCGCATTCTTCTAAAACCGGAAGTATTTTTCTCCATAAAATACCAATTCATGTTTTACGAGAGCAGTCGACAGCATGCATTTAAATTAATTGAGGTTACATTTGCAGAATAATTTTCTTCAGGTTTGGTATGATGATAATATTACCAAAATAAACCGCTGTTTGCCGTGCACAATATCGCTTAGGCATTTGGGTACCGACCTTTTACGATCAATTTTCGATTCTGTAATAATGAAGCAAAATGTTAAAATAAAAGCCCTAGAAGAGAGGAATAGTTCGAGGAGCCCCGAGTGCCCACCATCTCATAGAAGCAAAAATTATTCTAGCCAGAGTCGGAAAGTTCAAACACTTACAAAACCAAAATAGAAACAACTTAATTGAAGTGGAATATTTCTTCTTCTGATGCCGTCTTCTCCTTGGAGGTTGGCGACCACATTTCTGAATGCGTCTCTGTCCCGTGCCACATGAATCAGTGCTTCAAAATTTATTATTCGTTTCTTCCCCTTTATTTTCCCTGCATGCTTTACGGATCGGGATACTTTTTATTAG